GCAGACCTGGTTCTCAAGTTGCCTGCCAAAGTGGGAGAGGACCAGGAAGGTAAGGGATGGAGCATGGGTAGGGAAAAATAAGATTCTTGTCATACAACCTACTCTGCCTGGGCCAGTGTGGTCCAGGTTGTGGGCATGGAAACCATCTCTTCCACACAAACAGGCCCTAGCTGACCACAGTACAGGGCTGACAAGCACTGCGTGAGTCCTCTGCAAGTGTTCCTCCAAGGGAACGGCAGCTCTGTGTACTTGGCATTGGACTCTAGCTTCTGCCCGCCCAGTAGTACCTATGGTAAGTCGGAGAAAGGTCAATGGAAACACTCTAGCTTATGTCTGGAATCTGGGGAAGCTGCCGGGTCTCCTGTCTCTGGCTTTGCCCAACAAGGTCACCTGCCAGGAAGGGCAGGAGGCCAGACAGAGTAGAGTTCAAGAATCTTTCTGACACTTTGTCTTTGAGGCAGTACAACTGATCCCAAGTGGTCATTCCAACCTTTGTCCTGCTTTCTCCAGCTTGGTGAAAAAGGATGTGTGCATGTGTAGAGGTACAGGTAGGGATGGGGTTCAATCTCTCCCCCACTGTTTGTTGTCCAGACTCTTTGTTCCCAGACTCGGTTACACAGGATTTAGTGAATGGCTCTAACCCACCCTAGCTAAAGATATAGTGGAGCAGGTTAGGACTGCTGGGTGTGTGCAGTGTGTGTGTACATATACGGAATATGGTAAAAGGAAAAAAATTCAGGGTCTTTTACTTTTGTTTTCTGCTGAGCTCTCCCTAATCAAAATCATAGGCTGAAATGTAGTTATGAAAAACCCCAGGGACAGATCCCCTGCCCTGCCCCACTCATACAATACCTCAGAGAACTAGAGAAGAAAGCACACCAATCATCACAAATTGCTCAATAACTCTGGAATGTTCTGTTTCTATTCCTGTTCCCTTTTCTATTTTCTTGGCTGCTTCTATCTTAACACTACTACGTTGAAACTATGCCTTGTAATATTTTTTAGTTATAGGTGGACACAATGTCTTTATTTTATGTGGTGCTCAGGATCAAACCGAGCGCTTCACACATGCTGGGTGAGGGCTCTACCTTTGAGCCACAACCCAGCTCCTGAAACTAGTTGTAAGGTGCTTCCCTCAATGAAGTCATAGCTCCTCTTCATGGTTTACCACGGGGCCAGGAACATCTGACCTCGGATTTTCAATCTCTACCACTCGGTGCTACAGGGAACGGCCTGCTTCCATGCCGTTGGGGACTTCTGGAAGGTTCTCCTACAAACTCCTCACGACTTTCCAGTGCTCAGCAGGGCCGCTGTTACTGCGGCGCAGAGGTGTTCGCCCGCCCTTCTCCTCGCTCGGTTCCCACTCTGGACACGCAGTTTACTCGTGACAGCCGCGTGGCAAGTAGCTGGAACCAATCAGCGCAGCTCAGGCTTCGCAGCAGCCAATCAGAGCCCAGGGAAGTGAGCTCACCCAGGCGAGAGCTGTGCGGGCGAGAAAGCGTCTCCGAGAGCTGACGGTCCGAAGGCACTCCCTTCCTCTCCCCCTCCTCGCTTCCTGTAGAGCAGTAGGCCGGCACCCGCTCCTCGAAGGGAAGGAGGAGGCTGAATTCCACCACTGAAAGACCAAGAGAAGCGCGGCTTCTGCAAGCCCAGACTGGGATATTTAGGGAGCTCCCTGGCAGACACACTCTGCCCAAAGCGGGGTCTCCAGGGCCTGGAAGAGGACTGAGCAGGCCAACCGCAGTCAGCCCCTCCTCTCCACGTTTGGCTTTCTTGACTCTCCCTACAAAAATAGCTGTGGTCATTCTTTGTAAATAAGGGCATGGTCAAGGTCAAGTGCGGGAAAGCCAGGGCCTGTGTCCTTGTGCACACAGGTGAACAGAGGTGATCACGCAGCTCTGGCCTAAAGACAGGAACTCGGAAGTGGCCAGTCTGTTCAGAGTCGGGGCTAGTCTCCGCAACTCGCCCCCAGTCCTGCACGTGAGCTTCTTTCAAGTTATTTTAGTTGTAGATGGACACCATATCTTTATTATTTGTTTATTTATCTTTATGTGGAGCTGGGGATTGACCCAGGGTCTCACACCTATACCACCAGCCCCTGCAGGTGAGTTTCTGAATATTCCCTGGCAGGGCTAGATAGTGAATGTGTGTCCCACCTGCAAGTGGGAGGGAAGAAACAAGGGTCAAGAAGGCTACAACACCCACTGTACCCACTGTACTCTTGTCAGGTAGAGACAGGTTCAGCCCCGCATCCCCTTCAGCCTTTCACCAGACATCATTTTGGAGACAGATAAAAAACATTTTATTTAAAAATATAAAATTGGTCTTATTCCTCCTGTTCCCACCCCCAATTATGTACACACCCCAAAACAAAACAAAACCTAAAAATCAGGTAGTGGTATGCATACAGCTATCTCAGCTCTAACCTGGTTATTCTTTCCATTCTCCTTTCCCTTCATTGATACTTGCCCCTTTCCCCAAGAATCAGAGTGATACAAAGTTTCAGAAGAGGGGTAAAAAAGAATGCTATGGGTCATCATTCCTTCTCCAGGGACTGAATAGGTAATGTGGACTCTGACCAAATGATTTCTTTTGTCCACAAAACTAAATAATAGGGACAATTATTCCAAATCAAGAAAAATATGAGGGTCCAGGGTGTTGTTTCAAGCTTTTCTTCAGTATATAGCCTCATCCATATTGTCATCACTATCACCCCCAAAGTCCTCTCCATTGTCAAAATATGACATGATATAGTCAGTTTCCTGAAATGGAAAAAGTAAACGTCAGACATGCTTCAGCATTCTCCTTCCTCCCTCTGTACCAGGACCCTTTACTCCCAATCACCCCACCCAGGTCTGGAGCATCCCTTCTAGCCGTAGTTGTTTTGCCGTACTGGGGACTGAACCCAGGGGTGTTCTACCATTGAGCTACCTCCCAGGCCTTTTTATTTTCATTTTGAGACCAGGTCTTGCTAAGTTGCTAAGTCTGGCCTTGAACTTGTGATCCTCCTGCCTCAGCCTCCTGAGCTGCTGGGATCGCAGGCGTGTGTCACTGCACCCAACCCGCAGTTCATTTTTGAGTACAGCCTGGGGATACACTAAGTGAAGGGGACCCCTGTCCTTCAGTGGCATTTTCTCCTTTGGCCCTGTAACCCTCTGAGAAGAACATCTGCAGTGTGAAGAGTTGAGGATCCAGAGAGGAAGGGAGGGGGACTGAAGTGGAAGGTCCCTGTCACCTCTTCATGCTCTTCTTCATCGTACTCCTCTTCTTCTTCCTCTTCCTTTTCTTCTTCTTCTTCTTTCTCCTCATCTTCCTCTGAAGTCACTTCTTCCTCCTTTTTTTCCAAGGTCTCATATGAAGATGAAGAGACTCAGATTCAGTTCATAGATGGGAAAAATCACAGCAAACATGTGCCAAGAGACAGAGAGTAAATCTAGGGCCCAGGAGCTCTCTATTGACATTTTTCCTCACCTCTAATTTCTGTATTGTTTCTTCTTTATCGTCTGTGGTCTTAGGGGGCCTCTTGGGGAGCAGAATGGTGGTCCCTGGTGGGGGGATCAAGAGGTGAAGGGTCAGAAAGCACATAGTGGCTGACGTCCACTCTACTCTCCTGCAGCAGTGAACATGTCACTCTGCTGCCCTCATGTGGCCATCATGACACCTAACAAAAACTCTAGGACCAGATAGGAATTGGGAGAAAAGACCTTTTAGTGGACAGAAGAAACTTCTCCCTCCTTTTACAGATACACTTACTCTCCTTCTGTAGTTTCCGCACTCGAATCTTTAGCTCTCGGGGTAGACGCCGCCAATCTGGGAATGATGAAAATGTGAGTGTCAACAGGACCCTGCCTGGAGTCATCAATGAATAACGAATGACTGCTATTAAAGGAGAAAAGAGGGTTTTAAAGGACAGGAAGGAAGGAAGGGGTTGGGTTAAAGTTTCTCAGGACAAAATTGAAGGTTACATGCCTCCTGAGGAGTGAGGGTTATTTATGAGATTTTTGGGAGACAAAAATCTTAGAGTGTTTTGAAACCTATGTAAAGTTCTAGTTAGTAGACTTACATAGGGAAGGGAATACAGGGACGTTTGGGTGAGGGTGGGGTGGTGGTTTGAGGCATATCAAGCATTTAAAAGAAGGGCAGTCTATGAAAGAGCTCACCACCTACCAGGGTTCCAATCAATGGCACTGTCAATTGGTCCTGACATCTGATATTTGTCTGAATAACGTTCCACATCTGAAGAGTCAGAGGTCAAGGGTCAGAGTTTTATTTCTTTTACTTCTTTTTTTTTTTTTAGAGAGAAATTTTTTTTAATATATATTTTTTAGTTATTGGCGGATACAACATCTTTGTATGTGGTGCTGAGGATCGAACTTGGGCCGCGTATGCCAGGCGAGCGCGATACCGCTTGAGCCACATCCCCAGCCCCTCTCTTTTACTTCTGTACTGGAGATTGAACCCAGGAGTGCTTTACCACTTTTTAGTTTTTATTCTGAAACAGGGTCTCACTAAGTTGGTGAGGGTCTTGCTAAGTTGATGAGTTTGGCCTTGAACTTGAGATTCTCCTGCCTCAGTCTCCAAGTCACTGAGATTACAGGCATGTGCCTCCATGTCTGGCTCCTCCATATTTTTTAATGGTGCATTATTGTACATAATGGTGGGATTCATCATTACATATTTGAACGTATACATGCTACAATAATGTAATGTAACCGATACCACTCCCTAATATTTCTCCTTGCCCCACCCTCTTTCCTCAATTCTACTGATCTCCCTTTGATTTTCTTTTCTTTCAATATTTTTTTAGTTATAGATAACACAATACCTTTATGTATGTATGTATGTATGTGGTGCTGAGGATGGAACCCAGGGCCTCACATGCTAGGCAAGTGCTCTACCGCTGAGCCCCAGCCCCAGTCCCAGCCTCTCCCTCTGATTTTTATGAGATCCTATCACCACCTTTCTTTTCCTTTTTTCTCTCTAGCTTCCACATAAGGGATCAGGGTTTATCCCTTAAGAGCCTTAAATAGGATTGTTCCTGAGGGTTCACCCTTTCAACATTAAGAAATGGTCTACCTTCTCATCCCAACACACAGCCCAGGGAGTCAGCTTCAGTGAGGACCTCATTACCCTTCTAACCTGCCCTTCTGCCACCTGAAATCATGACGATATTTCTTTTTCCCTTAGCTCAAAGGCATTACCATATTATGAGATAAAGGAGTGAACTGGAAAGTATACCAAGCAAGAAACCAGTGTTTCAGTCTTTTTCTCCTTGCTAACAGGGTTAATTTAGTAAGTTTTTCACCTCTCTGAGCCCCAGTTTTCAGGACTCCAGCAGAAAAGCACCAGCTGTCAATACACTGAAACACCGTCCTTGCATACCAGTTGGTAAGTGGTCACTGCCCCAAGCCTTCCAAGTTTCCTCTTTTAGTTCCCCCATACCTACCTCCTGTGACCCGCGAGCCAGAGGGTTACTATTTTACCTAGAAGGATGCTCAAAGACCCTGCATCCTTCTGATTGTTTGGGGCTTATTAAATTTTGCTTAAAATTTAATGCACACCTCATTTATACGTGTGAAATGAGATCTTAATACTCAACCTCCCACGGTCCCAGGACTATGGTAAGACTCAAAACAAATCACACTGAGATGCACTTTAGACACAGAAGTGATTACCATCATCTCCCTAGTTAGTGTACTTCCCCTAGCTCCCGGTGCTGGTGCTGAGCACAGGCACTGCCCATGGGAAGCATCCAAACATGATGCTAGCAAGTCAACTGACCTCTCTTGGGAACAGCTGGCCGGATGAAGTAGGGGAGCTGCCTCATGGCCCCTCGTAGCTCCTGCTTCAGTGCCAGGACATATTCCCCTTCCTCTCCTGAAGGCAGAGGTACTGGGCGGAACTCCAAGGGCTAAGGAGGCAGGAGCCATGGTCAGTTCAGAGAGAAAATTCTGGAGGACATACTTATGAGAGCTTCTTGCCTCAATATAATCCAATGCTCCCACTGAATAAGCAGAGGCCAAAAAAAAAAAAAAAGGGGGGGAACACCCCAGCATTTTGAAAGCTGGGAAGCTGTGAGTATGGGAAGTAAGGAGAAACACTTTTTTGGCCTAAAAAACATCCCTGTGAGTTCAAAGTATAGAGACAGGGCGGAGGGTGGGGAGGGCAGGGAGGAGGACAGTTTTATGGTGGCCCGGGAGGAATCTAGGGTCAGGTAGAGTCAGCCAGGGGCACATGGGAGTCATGGGAACGGAGGGGAACACTCACAGGGAAGAGTGGAGAAGGCTGTAGGGTGGGTGGGGGCAAAGCATCCCCCTTCCCAATGCCCACGGCCTCCATGTTGAAGGTCAACTGGCCCCGGCCACGACCCCGGCCCCCACCCCGGCTGGCCATGGTGGAGGGGGCCTGGATTGTCAGAGATCCAGTGAGAAAAACCTGATAAAAACAAAAACAAAGAGAAAAAGAAGCACAACAGAAGAGTCAGGAAGCAAAGGATTGGGCAAGGCAATCTTCTCTCCCTGACACCTGAGAAGTCAGTGTCACTCAACAAGTTTTGACCATGAAGACACAGTGTCAGGCAGGGTATTTCTGGAAATATAAACATGGATGAGAATAGTCTTAACAGGACAGATAACTTTAGTTAGTCTAACTGCTGCACAAAGGAGAAAGTGACTAGATCTTTGGATGAAACTTCCATAAATCCCTAAGACAATTTGGGGTATATCATTACCTATATTTCTACATATAATTTTTGAATTCTTTCTCTCCCTGATCTTCAAACCTAACCAAGTCTGAATTTAATCCACTGGAATGCATTTCAGCAAAACATTCATTAAGTATTTAACATGTAAAAGGTAGTGTGCCAAGCACTGTGGGGACAAAAGAATGAATTGAATCACCAGAGGAATCTCGTTGTCAACCACAGGAAGAAAGACATAATCAAAGTGATCTTATTTATTCATATATTTATTTATTTATTGTAGCACTGAATTGAACCTAGACGCACTCTACCACTGAGCTACACCCGCAGTACTTTTTGAGACAGTTTTGGGAAGTTGCCCAGGATGGCCTTGCTTGCTATCCTTCTGCCTCAGCATCCCGAGTAACTGGGATTGCAGAAGTGTGCCACTGCACCCAGCTCAAACTGATCTTTTGAATAGCACTTGTAAGCACACAGAAACTTGCAACTGGAAAGACCCTTAGAGGTCATCTAATCCAAACCCCTCCCAATGTACAACTCCACTCTGTAAATTACTATTCAGTTTCTGGTAGTATTTTCCTAAAGAGAAGATATGCATTCTTCCCCCAGGTAGCTCCTTCCAGTGTGAATCAACTCTAATGAATAGAAAGTTTCTCTTTGTACTGAACTGGACTCTGCCTCTTGCTATCAATCCTGAGGAGCCAGTCATAGGTAGCTAGGCTGGGGAACCATATCTCGCACCAATAAGCACACTCAACACTCCGATCTTGGTTTCTAATACCATTTTCCCATTAAAAAAAAAAAAAAAAAACAAAAAAACAGGGCTCCTAGGAGAAATGGCTGAATTTAGGACAGGGCAGGAAAGAAATAAAATGAACCAGGAATATCTCAAGGAGACAGAAAATAAGAAGTGCTCTACAATCACACACACACATTGATGGGGCTATCAAAGGGGCATGATATCCAACTAAAGGAGCTCCTAATGGCCAAAACTGGAATAATTTGAGAAATGATAAATTCATATTGGATTATAACCTCAAAGTATAAAATAATTATCCATGAATCTATAAGAGCATAAATGACTGAATATATTAATACATGGGGGAGAAAAGACAAATCTTTCATGCAAAATTCCAAAAATAAATTATGTAGATACTCCACTCTAAAAGGGAGAGGAACATAACTCCTCTTTCCTTAATTGTGGACTATATATAGAAATTTTTGTTCAAAACCATCTGGAAAGCTAGAGGGTAGGGAATGACTTTATAATAGAGAGATGAACAAGTATTACTTCAGCCAGGTGACCAAAGTCAACATCATCAACTGTAATCATGTCGACAGATGTGTCCCTAATATGATAAAATGGTACTCTTATCTCTGTGATTATCCCCTCAAAACCCCATCACCTCCCTAGGTGCAGTGATGCACACCTGTAATCCCAATGACTCAGGAGGCTAAGGCAGGAGGATTGCAAGTTTGAAGCCAGCCTCAGCAACTTAGTGAGACCCTGCCTCAAAGTAGAAAATTTAAAAAGGTTGGGGATGTAGCTCAGTGGTAAAGCACCTCTGAGTTTAATCCCCAGTACTGGAAGAAAATAATAACGACAACAGAACAACTCATGACTTCAGTCTAATATGAGAAAAACACCAACTTCCAACAGAGAGTCATCTTATAATACACCAGACTATTACTTCTTAAAACTGTCAAGGTCATCAAAAACAGGAAAGTCTGAGAAACTGTCACAGCCCAGAGAAGCCTAAGGAGACATTTCAACTAACATCCTGATACATGAAAAGAGTGTGTGTGTGTGTGTGTATGTGTGTACACACACACTGACCTGCATAATAATAACATATCAATATTGTTTCATTAATTGTAACAAATGCACTATACTAATGTACAATGCTGGTAATAAGGAAAGTATGTGCCAGGAACATATGGGGAACTCTAGATACTATATGCTTAGTTTTTCTGTAAATCTAAAACTGTTCTTAAAGTAAAATCTATTTCATTAAAGTGAGTAGCAACTTGAAATTCACCAAAAGATTAGTTGATGAAAAAAAAAGACAATATGTAGAAAATAATCTGTTTTGTCAAAAATACATACAGACAAATAAATTAAAAAATTGTTCTTGGGGCTGGGGCTCACCTGGCATGCATGAGGCACTGGGTTTGATCCTCAGCACCACATAAAAATTAAATAAAGATATTGTGTCCATCTACAACTAAAAAAAATACATATTTTTTAAAAAGTTGTTCTTGAAAGATATACACTAAAAATTAACATTGATTTATTTGAGGTAATGGGGATTTTTGTTTTAGTTATATGGATTTAAATGTTTTCCCTATACTGAATAAATACTGCTTTTGTAATGATAAATTTAAACATACTTACCAACTAGTTGGTAAGATTAATAATCTGTAGCTGGAAGGAAAAGATGGGAAAATGTGTCTGGGTAATCCAGAAAGTTTTAAGCCTAATGTAAGGGAAAAATTATATTGTAGCACTCTTAAGAGAAAATCATCCCTTTTAAAAAAAATATTTGTGTAGTTGTAGATGGACACAATACCTTTATAATATTTGTTTATTTTTATGTGGTTACTGGGAATGAACCTTTAGGCATGCTAGGCAAGCACTCTACCACTGAGCCACAAACCCAGCCCCAAAATCATCCATTTTATTTACTGATTATAGAGGTAAAATGCATTTATTTCAGAAAATTTGGAAACATAAAGATATAAAGAAAAATGCCCATTATTTCATGGCCCTAATATTAAGTGATAAGTATTATTAATATTTTGATATGTACTATTTCAGTTTCTTTCTCTGTGTGTATATACATACATATGTATCTTATACATAAATAGTGAGGAAAAAATTACATAAAAATATGAGGAAAAAATTATATCTATTCAAAAAGAACATACTAGGGGAGGGAGGGTGTCATGGAGACTAGAGAGAGAATAAGAATTTCTCATCATATCTACAGTCCCTTTCAGGGGAAAAAGCACTGGTTTAGGGACCCTTCTGCTTGACAGACAGTTCTAGTGGAGGAGGTGGGAATTGCACAGATTGCAAAGCAGTGAGGAGTCAAGACAAGGCCATGAGCTTGGAAGTTAGACAAACGTGACTCCATTTCCATTTAAATGAGTGACCTCCAAGGACGCTGGGAGGAAAGGCTCAGAGAGAAGACAAAATTTATTTATTCTAGGCTATAAACTGGTAGTTGGAAACTATAAACCATTCATCTCCCCTTTCAGCTCAGGAATCTATAATGAGTCTCTACTTACTTAATACGGGGATAGAGCCTAAATTCTTGAGGATATTTAAGGTCTCCCATAATCTGGTTCCAATCCGCTCCCCTTTAACATGGACCTTCTCCAGTGCTTACCTTGTACTCAGCCTTCCCCCAAATGATAACATCTCATACATGCTCTTCTCATTTCATTCCCAGTAACGCACAACTGTATATTGTGGTAGAAGTTACTAAAAAGAAAGTTGCAACAACACACACAGAAAAACATCAACATATACATCAGAGATGACGAAGGCAGTAACTGTAGTAAGAACATGGATTTGAATCCCAGTTTTGTCATTTCCTAGGTATAAATGTTAGCAATTTATTTATTATCTCCAAACCTGTTTCCTCATCTATAAAATGGGGCTAATAAATACTATAACCTTATTTCATTCAATAAATATTTATTGAATGCCTATTATGTACCAGATATTGTTCTAAGTGGTAGTGATATAAAAGTGAGCAAAAAGGACCAAAAACAAAAAACAAAACTGCTGCTCCCACAAGGTTTATGTGGAGTTTATTTTGCTGGAGTCATAAGCCTATATATGATTATTTCTGGTTTGTTTGTTGTGGTACCGAGAATTGAATCCAGTAGCACTACTACTGAGCTACTTCCCCAGCCATTTTTATTTTGAAACAGGGTCTCATTAAGTTGTTAAGGCTGTCCTCAGAGTTATGATGCTCCTGCCTCAGACTCCCAAATAGCTGGGATTATAGGCATGGACCACCATTCCTAACCTATAAATGATATTTCAACCCATTAAACTGTGAGATCCCTAAAGGAATTGATCCAGGGACTGAGCCCCTAGGCACTCTAATATTTGCAGTTGATATATTTGTCATAAATAAGGTAAAAAGTTAACACTGGGGCTGGGGATATGGCTCAAGCGGTAGCGTGCTCGCCTAACATGCGTGCAGCCCGGGTTCGATCCTCAGCACCACATACCAACAAAGATGTTGTGTCCGCCGAGAACTAAGAAAAAATAAATGTTAAAATTCTCTCT